ATTTCAAAATTTTCCCCAGAAATGTACAGGAGAAGAGAACAAATTAAAGATCTTTTACCTCATAAAATATAAAGGATAATAAAACGTACAAATCTTCGTTTACGCCATTAAAATGAAAACGAAAGGTTTCAAAATATCACTTAAAATGGTATATAAGGAGAGATATAAGAGTAGAGGAAGTGTACTTAGTAGATTCTCTCGTTTTATCTTTAAGTTAGTATTTCTTGCTTCTCATCTTCTTTTTTATCTCTAATGGTTTCAGGTTAAGTAATACAATATGATTTAATTTTCTAAAAGACATAAATTTACCCCTAAAATTTCAAAATTTTCCCCAAAAAATTTGAAAATCCTGCCCAACCAAATTTGAATTTCAAAATTTTGAAACAAAAATAAAAAATTCACTAAAATCAAAATCTCTTTATCTTTATCTTCTTTTTCTCTCTCATTCATCTTCATTTTCTTCATCTCTCTCATTCATTGTCATTTTTCTTCATCTCTCTCATGCATCTTCATCTTCTTCTCTCATTCTCAATCCTTTTTGGCTATGGAACGATACTATGAAGGCAAAGCTGTCTCTACACTATTAATGGCCACAATCAAATTTAAAAAAAGGGTTGCTAAAAAAAAAAAATTTAACAACTAAACGAAAGTAAAAAAATTAAAAAAACCAGTAATTTCCAAACACTGTAAATTACATAAAATAAGCGATTTATTCTTCAAATCTAGCTATTCTCTTTGCATTTCTTCATGCAAACTTATTCATCAAGTCTTTAAAATCATGTTTTTCAGCCATACGTCTTGTAATCAATATTATCGACAACCCATTTAGTCTCTCTTGCGCCATAGTTGACCGTAAATAAGATTTTATGAATTTCAACTTTGAAAAACTTCTTTCTGTAGAGGCAACAGAAACTGGAATCGTCATCATTATGCGGTATTCAGTTCATGTATTCGGATAACAACTTTTCATCTTCTTCAGAAAATTCAATACCTCGATAGCCTTTTTCATCTCTTTTGGCAAAACCTCTTTGAAAAGTTTTATCTCTAAAAATAAATCATTACCATCTAGATGAGAATGCATTTCATGCTTCAAGAAAACTTCAAGGTTAGTACAAGAAACCATCAAGTCTTCATCATTTGCTAATTGCAGTTTCGTCAAGTCAAACAAATATCCAAAAGTATTTCATAACCTTGAGGCTGATCAAATCTTGTTTCAAGAGAAACCAAACATTGATCCACAATTTTGATGAAGTAGTTGCTCCTAAAGTTTTCTTCCGCTGATTATATCATATCTTCCCCAACATTTTTTAGCTTCTTCGTCGTTATAGCGTTTTCTTTTACATATGTGTTTTGCTTTCACAGAGAATACATTATCAATATCCATACTAATAGCAATCCCCTCATCTTTTACTTTTGCTGCTTGAAAGCCTGTTTCTCTATAGTTTCTGAAAATAGAAACAAGTCCTTTTAACTGAGAAATAGCAATATCAATATCCATATCTTCTGACTGCAAGATCCTACTTACTTTGTTGACAACTAACAAAGACTCATACCAAATTACCATTCCAAACAAAACTTCAAAACTCCTAATTCCATGTATTTCACTCATTGCAAGAGACTCGGCTTCATTTTTCGTTTTTGGATTATCACTGTTTTCAACCAAGTAAAATAACGCATCTCGTATATGAGGAGCTTGAAATCGTATTGCTTTAACACTTTGAACACGACTCTCCCAACGAATTTGTGACAACGGCTTAACTGTAATAACATTCACAATATCTCTAAAAACATCACAATTATTTATAGAACACGCAAACAAACAATAGATACGCTGAACAATACCAAAAAATGATGCTATCGTCGAAGAGGAGGCTATATCTGAAAGTGCCAGATTCAAACTATGACAACCACATGGTGTGAAACTGCTCTTGTATTAACTTCAAGCAATCTTGATTGCACTCCTTTATTTTTTCCTTTTATGTTTGATCCATTGTCATAACCTTTTCCCTCTAATGTCATCAAAAGTTAACTCACGAGTATACAAAACTTCTTGCAAAGTGTCAAAAAGCCCAGGACACAGTACCAATCATCATTATCTAATCATTTTGAATAACAGGACTCAGATAATGATGATGTGTTTCCTTTTTTTCAATTCTTCTTATGTGTTCTTGCATCACAGGATCAAAATCTCCAAACACCTCAACCATGCCCAAAAAATTTCCATTCTAATCTTTATGAATCTTATCACTGCTTCCACAAAATGCTATATTCTTTTTTCAAAGACCCTTTACCAAAGCAATTATCCTCAACAACACAACTCTCCAGTGTTTTTTCTCTTTTCCAACATATGCTTCTAACTCCATCCAACAAATCATGCATCTGATATGATTAGGACCTTTTCATGCTCTCTTAGCATTTTTGAAACGTTTCTCCAGTCACTATACCCGGTAGTTGCCAACTGATTGATATTTTTATCTTGTGTGAATAATTTACAGCAAAAACAAAAGATCTTATCTTTTACCTTTGAGTAAACAAGTCATTGTCTATCTTGCTTTTCTCCATTTATTATATTTCTCGTGTAAGACGAATGAGAAAAACATCTTCCAATAGAATCTCTTGGAAAATAAAAGTCGATGGGAAGTCTTTTGATTGGACCCTTATTAACAACAAAAATCTCTCAGTCTATTATCAATTACTCTTCAATTTCCGGGATCATTGAAATCTCTATATATATGATATTACTTAAAATCAAATCTTTTCTCCTCTTCATTCTCAATCTCCCTATCATTCCTATTCGCATTCTCATTCTCTTTCTCCATAGACTCATGTTCATCGCCGGGTTCAGCAATTTTTCTACCTTGGGTGTTTTCTGAAATACCAGCTTATTCACTACTCACATTAATCTCTTTTTCTAAGGGCTCATCAGTTTTAGAAGGTTCAGAACTTTTTAGGTACCTCAACATCAAATTTTCCATTGATTTTGTTAATGCCTCTTGTCTCTTTTTTTCCTTATTTTTGATGCTCCTCCTGGCACTATCTTTATTCGATTTGAAGTCATCTTCCTGCAACCAAAATTTGAAAACAGGATTAGGGCTGGGGGTTTGACGAGGAGGAAGAAGAAGAAGAGAAAGATGTTTTAGGTTTATAAATTTGTTTCTTATTTTTCTTTATTCTTATTTTTTATAATTTACATTTAAGTAAAAAAAATTCTCTTTTAATCTCGAAATTATATACATATCCATATATATATATATATACATATATATGTTTTAGTTTTATTTATTCTGGCTCAGAAATATGGAAAAAAAACAAATTTGCTTAAAAACGGAACAAGGAAAAATTTGCCTTAGTGGGGAATCAAATTGCAGACATGGAAAACACATGCCAAGGTTATTACCACTAGGCTAAGGAAAAACTATTGGAAAAAATGCCGAAGTTTTCCTAGGTTGATGCGATTGAAGAAGATACCAAAAGCTTAAGGAAACAGTATGAAAAGCACGCTGCTAGAATATGGGAATTCGGAAACCATGACTTTCTAATCTCTCAAATGAAGTTGAAGCTAGAAGCCAATGATGAAGAGATTGCCAAACTTAAGGAGCTAGTGTCAAAGCTTTTGGGTCGAATCGAGACACTTGAAGAAATTAGCTTTAAGTGATTTGATTCTTATCGTTGTTTCTTGTTGAACTCTATGTTGTGTCTTTTTGAATTCTATGTTGAACTCTATCTTATGTATGTTGCAAATCTATGTTGAGTTATGCGAAAAAACAATTTATTTTTACCCAATTTTTCTAGTAACACCAACATCAATCCCAGAAAAACAGCCTAGTTTTACCCAGTTGTTCTAGTAATACCAACATCAAACCCAGCAAAACAGCTTAATTTTACCCAGTTGTTCTTGTAATACCAATATCAAACCCAAAAAATTACAATTTAGTTTTACTAGTAATACCAATGTTGAACCCAGAAAAAACAGACTAGTTTTACCCAGTTGTTCTAGTAATACCAATGTCAAACCCAGAAAAAACAATCCTAGTTGTACTTAGTTTTCCTAGTAATAGCAATGTCGAACCCAGGAAAACAGCATAGTTTTCCAAGTTGTTCTAGTAATACCAATGTCGATTTCTTAAAACAGCCTAGTTTTACTTAGTTGTTCTAGTAATACCACATCCCAAAAATGAAGTAAACGACCTAAGTTATACATAGTTTTCATAGTCATACCAAATCCAGAAAAGTAATACCAAATAATACAATACCAACTCCAGAAAATAACTTAGTTTTTCATATTTGTACACAACCAAGTTCGGAAAATAACCTAGTCTTCCCATCTGATTTGTCTTCGACCTTTGTGTGGCTGGCTCTTGGACTGCTTTCAATGTTGTCTACGGCAGTCCGTTTAACACCATTCTTCTTCTGCTGCCCTCTACTAAATACTTGAGAAATGCCTAAGAGGCTACCATTAATCATGGTCTAATACTCTCTTTGTTTTTTTTTTTTTAATTTCTAATTTTTTTACACATATTTAGAAAACATCTAAAAATTGATGATAATTACACCATTTTTTGTGATTCATAATTTTTTAAAATTCTAAACCAATAATACTTAGTTATTTACTTTGAAATTTGTAAATTGTAATAAATAATGCATCGATAACTTAAAAATTTATTTTTTAAAAACAATTTTTTCTCATTAAATAATCATCTCTTAGGAACAAATTAGCATGGAGCACGTAACAACACATCCTCGTCACCAACACATCCGCTCCTAACCTCCACTTGTATGATGAGGACCACTCGTTATGAGAACACATTAAATCGATTGGTGACTTTCATTTTCCATAAGTTTATTACATATACATTTATGGTAATGTAAGTTTTTATTGGATCAAAATATACAAGTACAACTACTAGCAGTCACCAGCACCGATCTCTCTATCCCCACCATCAATGCAACCGCAACATACTTCACACATTATTCACGCAAAGATTTTTATTTTCTAGTAAACTAAAATGTTCATTTCTTTGTTTTCTTTCTATATAAGCTATGTTTCTAAATTTCTCATAGACACACACACACAAAAGAAGAACATAATCTCATATAGTTTGTCTAGATAAAAAAATGGGTATCGCCCAAGAGAACCGGGTCGAAGTGAAGTCAATGTTAACAGCAGTATCAAGCAAGCCATGTAGGTCGGATCGGGTACACCCGTTTACGGCTTTAGACAACGCCATGAGTCCACATACTCTTCACGTCATCGTTTACTACAGTCGTAGTCCATTTGGTTCTTTTGACCTGGACTCGGTCCGAACCTCGTTGTCGGAGCTTCTCTCTTTGTACCCTCCAGTTGTTGGTCGGGTCGCTAAAACCCCGGACGGGATCTTGGAAGTGAAGTGTAACGACGCTGGACTAAGAACCTTAAGAGCCAAAGTTTCTGTTGGTGTTGATGAATGGTTGAGATCAGCTGATGGACTAGAGGAGGGTGATCTAACGGCTTGGGACGATATGCCAGATGATCCGAGTACTTGGGCACCGTTTCGTCTACAGGTTCGTTACACAGTCTTAACCAAACATAATCTTGGTTCTGTCTGGTTTCATTTATGGTATAGGGTGATAAAATCATAGTAATTATTAGTGTCGGAATTATAACAAAATTATAATTTTGGTTTGGTTTGGTTTTTTTAAGCTGAAAAGTTTCTTTTTTAAGTATGTTGATTAAAAAAAATGTATTTTAGGTACATGTTGGTAGATTGACTAAATTCTTAGTTTTGGATCTTGAGAGCTAAATTTGTGTTGGTAAATTGATTAAATTTGGTAAATTTGAATCTTCAAAGTTTTAAGTTTTTTTTTTTATAATAAAAGGAATTATATGTTGTAAATTTTGGTACAATTTGGTAATATTATTGGTACCGAATTTAATCAAAACTTTAGTTTTTGTAACATAAATTTTCAATCGTACCGTTTATTTATTTTAACAAAAGTTTCAATCATAACAATAATTTTGTAACAAAAAAAAATCAATCTTAACCATTATGTTTATACAAATACCTTAACCATTAGGCTACTGCACTATGTTTTGGTAAACCGGTATGTTTATTGATTAAGATTAAGGTTAAGGTATTAGTATAAACATAAGCTTAACCATTATATTAATAAAAATTTCAATCTTAACCATTAGGTTTTGGTAAACCGGTATCACTGTAACCTTCGAATTTCCGGCTAGATATATCGAACCAAAAACCAAATAGTACTGACCAAATTTCAGTCCGGTCCGGGTCGGTCAATTTGGTTTCCAACCCTAACAATTTTTGTAATGATTTTGGCAGATAAACGAATTTGAAGGTGGAGGAGTAGCAATAGGCCTAAGCTGCCCACACAGACAAGCAGACGCAACAACACTAACTGTTCTGTTAAAGTCATGGACCGAAGCCCAACGCCATCAAAGTATCATCCATCCTCCATCCTTCTCACCACTACCCTCCATCTTAACTGATACTAAGCCCGTTAAACCCAACTCCGAGCCCATTTCTAAGCCCATTTCAACAAAAACAACAACCGCAACGTTCAGTTTCTCTACCTCCGCTTTCAAGAAATGCCTCCAAGACGGAATATTCCCAAAAGCCTCACCGTTCGATGTGTTTGCCGCGCTTTTCTGGACACGTGTCGCTCTAACAAAGCGTAAGAGCCATGATCGAGTGTGCATGTGTGTGGACTTTAGGAGGCTTTTGCCTGATCCACTTCCTTATGGTTTCTTTGGTAACGCTTTAAGCTTTACGTCACTAGAGATGTGTAACGTGGCTGATCAAGAGATCAGACATGTGGCACGTTTGATAAACGACCACGTGGCGAGCCTAACCGTGGAGAAAATCCGGTCCGAGCTAAACCGGGTTGGGGAACAAGGGCTAATGTACGGTGGAGATTTGACTATTGTGAATATGGAACATATGATTGTTGAAGGAGAGCCGTTGATGTACGAGGCTGTGTTTGAGAACGGTGTTAGGCCTGTGCATGTTAGTTACAGGATCGGAAAAGTTGGTGGAGAAGGGGTGATTATGGTGATGCCGTCGCCGGAGAAAGGGTTTGGGAGAGTAGTATCGGTGACTTTGCCGGAGGAGGAGATGTCGAAGTTACTTGTGGACCAAGAAATCCTTCGATTGGAACCAAAGATTATTCTAAGCGGTGTGAATTAAGTTTATTTCTAAGAAGGATATTTAAAAATAGAAAATAAATATGTTACTAGTACATGTTACTGATTTAAATATATTGGTAGTGTGTTTCTTACTAATGTTATTTTGGTTTGTTTCCGCTGGTTTACTCGATGAATGTTGATTGCTAGGGTTATTAAATAAAGAAAGACACGGGCCGGATCTTTTCACTTTTTATGGTACACCAACATAAAAATATATGAACTTCATATAAAAGTTACATAGTAAGGACATTCATCGTAGATTCTATTTTTATCCTACTATAAATTTCTATATATGTACTAGGAGGACGACCTGAGATATGAATTCTGTCAAGTGCTTGAATGCAATCTTTAAAATAAGAACAACATATATCCATACTTCTTAAACTGAGCTTTTCCTTGTGAACTCTCATTCTCCCGTTTTTAGTATATTCGCTGTTAACTTCAAAATAGCGTTTAAACCTTCATCAAGTTTCCTCTATGCTACATCCAATGACCTTCTTGTAGCAATATCTCTCACTTTTTTATCTTGACCAACCACTTCAAGAAACATTACAACCCCTTCGTTGACGTACACATTGCAAACCCTCTCAGTATTCTCTTCTAAACCATATATCCTAGTAAGCATCATGTACTTCAAATGTGTTTTGGTTTATTCATAGAAAATTGTAAAACATTGTTGATATGATCCATGCATAAGCTAAAGAACATGACACTGTCCTGCACCTCGATATGTTCTACAAATAAACCTAACAATTCAACATCAACATCAACATTAACATCATCATCATTGTCATCCTCCAAGATCCATCTAAACATTTGCAAAACCATTAAACATGTGCAAAAAAATTCAAGTAGCCATGCATAAAATTAAAAACCATAAGGGTGAGTTAAAAGTATATACATAAATAAATGAAAAATTAATAATCTGACTATAGCTTTTGTTTAATTAGTTTTCTCTCATCTTTCTTTTTAATGACAAAAGTAGCCTTATTATTCTTGCACATGGATTATCACATTTAACTATATTGTTATCCGCTAACGAATAACAAATATGGATGCAACATTATTCATTAACGATGTAATAAATCATTCGTAATTTTCTAGTATAACTACTTTGTTATAGTTTATGAATATGGATAACTATATAATTACCGAACTAACAATATGTTTAACGGGATAAATTATACATTACACCTTATAAATATAAATAAAGAATTATCAAATTTTGACGTTTTTCATTTCAGATCGAGGACACTGTTTACCATATGATATAATAAAACATGTTTGTAATTTTATTGTTTAACTTAATATGTTAAATAATTTATTAACAGTATAAATCATATTGTATCGCGATAAATTACAAGTTATATGGTAAACTCATAGTGATCGTGTTAAATCATTTATTATTGCATAGTTAATGTGTTAAATCATTTATTGTGTTAAATCATTGTATAGTATTTTCGAAGTTAAAAATTATAAACACTAAATAATGGATAAAAACAATTTACAGTTTATTGATATTTATTACGTTATCTCGCTAAAATTTTTGTTATCTATGTATAAGGTTATTTTTGTCCAAAACAAACTAGTATGAGAGAGAACTAATTAAAATATAAGTAAAGCTAAATATTTAATTTTTAGATCTTGTGTGTATACAGATTAGTATTCTCTCTTTTCAACTTCAAAGAGGTAGTGGGCTATCTGCTCGATAATTTGGTCTAGAAGTTGAAGAAGATCGAGCCTGCTAAAGAACTTCAACTTAGCATGAAGAAGTTATTATTGCGTCCTAACCACATTGTTGTTGTTTGTTTGCTTGTATCAGATTTTCAAGATTTTTGAGAGGTCATCTCTTTTTCTCCTTGCCTTCCTCTTGCCTTCCTGCTAGTCTCGTCTCTCGCCATCGGAAGCTTCCTCTTGGTTTTTCTGAAGGTTGTAGCAGCTGGTTTCGTTTCTTGGTTCTGTCATTCTCCGGTTGGGTTAGTGTATTATGCTAAGATTTTGTGTTGTATTTTCAAGCCTTAGATTCAGCTGATGGGTTGGCTTGATTGTCTCCTAGCTTTGCCTATTTCTCTGTCCTCCTTCTGGTTTATTGGTGTGGTGATTTGGCGATAGGTTTCGTTCTGTGGGTTCTTCATTCGGATGGTAACCTCCTATAATGGCATCTACTAGCTCCTCCTTGGGATCTTTCTTGGTTTCAGGGCTGTAATCTGGACGTTGTGGTGGGTTCGATCTCTTGTCCTTCTCTTTGCGTGGCGTAACCAGTCCTTAGTCTGTAGATGGCTTTGGTTGGGTCTACGAAGGTCCGTGTGTAAGGATAGGTGATCCTCTTTGGCGTTTCCCCTCCCGATTCTCAAGGCTTCTCCTTGATCCTCCGCAATCTCGTTTCCATTGGTTTTAGATTGGACAGGTTGGTTAGGTTCCGTGTTCTGTTCTACTTGTTGTGTCGTCTTCGTTTCTGCTGTGGAGGTGGTTGTGTGAGCTCGTTTTAGTTTTCTCTTCGGGCTTTAAGTATGTCTGATGACATTTGATCTTTGGGTTCTTTCGAGGCTCCAGTCAGTAACCTCCTTCACCGCCAAACTGTTTCTATGGAAGTGTTAGTCGGCCTCTTATAAACGAAGAGGACTTATGGTTGTTGTGTTGGAGCTTTTTAGCTGTTATTCTCTTGGCTTTTCTTGTAAGGTTTTTCTTTGTAGTTTTGGCCTCTAAGGTCTTAGTCTCTGCTGGGGGTTTTATACTTGCCAGCAAATGTCTCTGGGAGTTTTCATATACTCGCCAGCTTAGTGTAATTCAATCGTATGTTATCAATGAAATATCAACTTTCAGTGGAAAAAAAGAGCATTTTAATGGTTTTGTTAGGCTAAGATTTTAACTTGTTATGAGTATTTCTGCTATTTTTGTTAAAACAGATATTTTCTTAATAATTAATCATAGTGTATTTTTCTATTTCTGGCAGCTTGTACAACCAATAAACAAGTTTTTAAACGTTTCAGACATAGCAAGCCGACCGTCGGATATGGGTGGACTCACGGACTTAGTGAGAGTACGTGACGCCTATCAAGAGAGGTGGACCCATGTACTAAGAGTGAATATGGGGCCTACTGGTTGGATGTCGTTCGAGGTGTTACACGTGGGAGGTTGTTTTATAAATCTGACTACGTGCATAATCCATCTGAACATGCAACTGATGCATTCCCCATAAATAGTGGTATGCCCTTTGACACTATCGCCCACCATCGTCACAAGAAATCCCGAGGCCTTTAAGAACATGCCAACGAGGAAAAAACATGAATCTAGATGTGACTTGAGATAGTTATTAACAGAAGAAACACAGTGAAGTCAAGCACCGCGGTGACGACGCTTTTATTGTAACGCATGTGATCGTTTTGGAAGGATGTCTGTTGAAACCATCAAATTGGAATTGTGCGGTTTAGTTTTAAATCACCGGTTTAGCTCAAATTTAATTTATAAAAATCCTAAGTTTTGTTAAAACACGAGTTGCGCCTTTCTTTATGTGTTTTTCTGGTTTTACCGCTTCCAGAGAGAAATGAAAGAGATATGGCTTGTTATTAATACTAAGAGAAAAGGAGAGGCTGTGGGGTGATCTATAGGAGCAGAAGGATGTGTTTTTCGTGTTAGCAAGCATGAGGTGAAGGTATTTGTGGCTGTTGGTGTGAGGAAGGCTATTATGTGGTTGTCTTCTTGTTTTTTCTAATCTCAGTCCAATCCAAATTAGAGGTTAGTGTGTGACCATAGCTAAGCTAAGCTCGATGGTACTTTATGATGTTTGTTTTGAATGTGTAGATGATTTGGGGATTTGGATATGTGGTTGTTTGTGTGTTTCATGTATTGTGTATACTTGGTTTGATGTTAGGTTTTGTGTGGAGTCGAGTGTGGTGCACGGGTTCGTTGCCTGGAGTAGTAAGGGATGATTCCAGGGCTTTTGCGGAGGCAATGTCGATTAACACCATCACTGTCTAGGTGAAGGTCGACACCAGGTCTGGCTGGGAGCTTATGAGCTTCCTTTTTGGCTAGGTCGATTTGTTTGAGTTCCATATTATTTTATCTCGCTTGTGTGTATAGTCGGAAAATCCGCCATTTCATACCCAACCTAAACATTTCAGTTCATATCTAACATTTGTTAGTGTGCCTATGCATTCCCAATCTTTTTTAAAATATTCAAATTTTATATCCGAATTTACCAAATCATGCAAAATCATATATCTTTTTTCATAGTTGCTGACATGGATGCCACATCCTTGATGATATTGATGACGTAGTTGCCATATCATCATCTTTTTAAACAAAAATAAAAATATAATTTTCTTGTTTTATTTTTTTATTGGATTTTTTTTTAAAATTTTACGCTCTAAATCCAGAAAATTCAAGTCAATCCTACAAAATCAAAATAACTAAGAAATATAGCTTGTTTTCACTACTATCATGTTTTAAAAAAAATTTAGAAATAATATATCAAATCGAAGTCCTCGTGACTAGAAGTTCAAATATATCTTTATAATTTTCATAAATAAATGTAAGTGACCGTACAATCGTTTAGAAAAATAAATTTATCTGGTATAATGGCTGTATTCCGTATTATTCTTGATACAATTTTATTGTTTCGTATATTTTTGTATATGAATAATAGAATTGCAAAAATTGACGACGTTAGTGGTTTATTGGCACAAACCCCTTTTTTGTTTGTTTTTATAAAATTTTGCTTTTTTGCTAAAAGGATAAAATCTTATTTCAAGATTATAAATTTAAAATTCACAATTCCTCTTTAAAACATATTTTTGACTGATGATGGAAACTATATGATACCTCTATCAGACTATCACTCTCAGGTTGTTCGTGCGGTGGTACAAACTCGGGAAAAAAAAACATGTTGCTTACTGTTAAAACTATTTGTATCATTTTATTGCTAGTTTAATTTTTTCTATCCACGTATGCTTATAATTTCTGTTCCAAATTTATCAAATTAATTATAAAATAATTATTTTAAGACAAGTTAAATTAGGATAGGGGTTACGAAACCTAAGCCCCAATTTGACTTTTAATAAAACAAAAATAATTTCAATAGTATCTATAACAAACTCGGAAAATAATCCCTATTCCTAGTAAACAGCATGAACATAGTTAAATACACATTGTGTGACTGACTTTTTCTTGTTTACTTCTTCAC